ACAAAAAAAAAGATGCCAACAGTAAATATCAACTGCTCTGATATACACTTTAACTGTATCACGTGAATAATCAGAGAGATTCCGCTATAAAATTGGTAAAAACTGAGAGAGGAGTTGAGGAGACAACCTTCTCATCAGCTGATCCACTGCCTTCGAAAATAAAAATTAAAAAAAAAAAAATGATATACATATGTTCCCTAAGATATTTAAGTGATTACATGTAAAGATTAGGAGAAGAAAAAAATAAAATAAAGTGTATATAGATGTACACATAGCGAGGAGTTTGTCGTAGATAATTAGAAAATAAAATACATTTCAAAGAAATACAATCTCATGAATAGAAAAATTACAAATTAAGAAAAACAAATTTTATCTACTCACAATGCTTTGTGAGTGGTGACGAAAATTCACGTTCAACACAGAATAAAACAATAAAAAATAAGAGAAAAAAAAATAATGTCTAAAGAAAATTAAAGCCTTATTACATAGTATGTATTTAACAAGCGTTTGATTGGATTTTGAAGAGGAATTGGAATAAGAGGGTTTTAAAGGCGGATAAGGATGATGCATGTCGGATTTTATTGCATGTAGGAGATGGTGGAGTTTCAAGCGATGGAATAGTTTCAAGGTACCAATTGACCGTCGGGAGATGTGAGCCATATGGTGTTTCCAGGGGAGGGTTTGGTCAATGAAAATGCCTAGGTTTTTTACTGAGGAGGTGAAGGTGATGGGATGGTCATTTAGGTACATGATAGGAATGTTGGTATTGGCTCTAAGAAGGGGTTTGGAACTAATGACAAACAGCTTCGACTATCATTTCTGGGTAATCTACAATAAATTTACTCAAAGAATCATTAACCTGTTTCACAGTCAAATGTGATTAGAAGCTATAAGGAATCCTTGAGGGGATTGGTCAAACATCGATGTATCCCCTCGTAAAGAACAAGCCGGGATAATAATGATTCTATTAGTTTGTCAATTTCTTTGTCTTCTGCTTCTGAAGGAGCTACCTTTATTGTCAACGATCTTTCTAAATGAGATTCTATTGGTTGCTCTTCATTTTCAGTAAGTACCATCCCTAATTCTTGAACGGATAACTATAACTTGATCACTCAGCCTTTGTGAACGCATAGCCATGGTGGATATAGTTCGTGCCAAAACTGTTGAATCTTTCCTAGATATCCTGTCTCATCTGTTTCTAATTTTGTTGCCAAAAGATATGCCTGGATGTAACAGTTCAATTCTGGCGTCCATTTCATCCTTCGAACACCTCTTGGTCTCTGTTATCGGGTTCGTGAGGGAGGAGAAATAGTATCGCCCAAGCCCGTAATATAACTAGTTGCCGGTTCTTGCAGTCTTGTGGTGCTTTACAAGTTGGTGTCACTTGCTTCGCTTCCTAAAATCTTTTTAAAAAAAAAAAAAATCTTCGTCACTACATGAAGGAAGCTGTCGAAGATTTTCGCCTGGTGCAGCTTCATTCCCAGGCTCGTCCGAGGCTATACGTCTATTTCTTAACTCCATTTTTGGTGGGTATTAGCATTTTAATCCTTCTGTCAGGTCTTCCTAGATAAAGTTGCCATAGGATGTGCACCGGAAATGACCTTAGTGTTAGTGTATGTGGTTTTGTGTGTTGTAATTTATGTGTTTGTGATGTACTCATGTGCCCGAAGGAGCGTAAAACTCCAACAACTGCGTCCATCAGTTGCACTTTTATTCGGGCGTATTATACGAGATTATTATTGTTATCTCTTTATTTTCCACATATACAATGGTGTTTATAATATGTAATAGTTGGGGACCTATTAGGTCAGCCAAAAATTACATTTATATATTTTCATAATTATTTAATATTTGTGAACTTCCTTACTATACTTGCTGTTCTCAACAACACCGCTTGTTGCATTCTTTCGATCGTCTGAGATGGTAGTTCTAGTTGTCGCAGAGAAGATACAGTTTCTTCCGGTATCAGTCGCGTGGTATATTTGTGAGCTCATGTTCTGAAAACATTAATCCAATCGAATGTCGCTTAATTCAATAATTTCGAATGGGAATTCGGTTTTAAAATAGAGTTTAGAGTCTTAGCATTTTATTTTCATTTCTACAGATTTGATTGTAACATGTCAACACGGTTCCGGTTAAATTTCAAACTAAAATAATGCTATTAATGAATGTATCGGAAAAGCTTATTATTCGCAATTTAGCTACTCGATTAAAACTTGGCGGTTAGGCATTTTAAAGAAATAGCGAATACTGTGAAATGCAAAACGCGGAAACGTTAATAGAAAAAAAATTTCGAGTAGTTAGTATATGCCGTAGTTCAAGTAAAGAATATGATTCGTAAGTATATTTATTGCTCTAATCATTCTTTCTTTTTTAAATAAACTTGTTTTCCTCTGTTTTTTTTTTTTTTTTTGTTCTTTTAATGTAACTCTCCTTTCTTTAATTTAGTTGGGACAGATTTTAAGTCTCTCTTCAACCGACTTAACTAAATATTATTTGATATCTTAAGACTATAAATTGAAAGATTTGGTAGCTTTATATATCAATAAGACCTCTCTATGTATACGACATTTTGTATTTCAGCGACTATATGCTGGCAGACGTGCATTTTTCTCATCATGCCTATGGTTATGGTCAATTAATAAGGACAAACCTTAGTAATATGATATTCTAGTATGTAGAAATATGACACCTTTTTTGTCACGGGCTCCAGGACTATGAGATTTGCATTTCGCACCTCGAAAAACCCTTAAATACGAATTTCCATACCAATCGAAAAATAAAAATGTTTTGCTCAGAATGTTTGCCATACTGGAGCCTTCGATTTTTTTTCTAAAACCACGAAAAATAGAAAAACTTATCCATAGACATAGCTCTACTTATCCAAACGAAATTTAAAACGAATTTAGGATCCTAGAATATACACGAAATGGCACAATACAAACACCCACAAATATATTGGACTTGGAGATAAAAATAAAAATGTTTGAAATATTTTTTTATTCCATATAAAGATGTAAAATCTAAACGTTGTTGGTGTGGTTTTGAACAGCAATAATTTATCTTTCTAATGGTTGTAGTACGGTCGATTACGGAAAAATCCTAAAGAGTTATGAATATTTTAGTAAACGACATGAAAAAAAAATCTCGTAAAATTAAGTAAAAAAAATTATATTTTCTAATTTCAAAACAAACTGTACTTAAGAGTTTAGGTGGACGCTAAAAACGAATCCGAGTCGTTTTTCATGACAAAAATTTACTTGGCCTACTTTACAAGAAGCGTCTTTGGGTTTTTGTAATTTATTACACATTAGAATTTGTTTAATACAATTAGCTATATGATTTGATTATTTTACAAAAACAAATAAATCTAACGATATATAACAACTTAGAAACCCATGCAGAGCAAGGTCAGAAAACATTAATATAAAAAAGTAATACAATTTTTCTCGGCTTCTGCACATTGACAAAAACCCTCAGACATGGGTAAAATATTTTTCGATCTAGTATCACCAAAAAAAGGTACATTGAAATCGGTGACCCCATGCTCGTAACATCCCCTTGTAAGTGCACTATATTTTGATATCACAGTGGGAAATTTCATCAAATCACCTAGTGATTTTTTAATTAATTTTATAAAATATTACTGAGTTATGCATTACACAGAAGATATACTCTGCAGACAGCGCTGGGTTCAGGACCACTTGGCAAGGTTAATCATTCACAGAATCTATATTTTGTTGTTAACCATCAAAATTTTTATTGTTTATATTCATCCATTTTTTTTTAATACTGCTAACAATGTAAGATGGATAATTATTTCAAATATATAAAATTAAATGTACTTCAGAGGAAGAAATTTTGAAAATTCAGTATTTAAGACCTATCGGTATTAATATAACTTTTTTGGTTCTGCTATTCTAGGTCTTCCTTCACATTTTGATGGAACCACAAACATTTTGTTTATTTATTTTTTGTTTCTACTAAAGCCATTATGATGGCTGTGGAATTAGTGCTTTACGAAAGCAGTAATTACCTAAACTTTTATAAATTCTTTTGTGTAGTGTACTAGGAGTATTTTGAGATCATATATTTATTTGATAAATGTATAACAGTTATTCAAGGATAAAAATAAGTTTTATCAAATTTCTTAGTCAAAGAATTTTTATGAGTAAAAAACCACAAATGCAGAAGAGCTATTTTATCTGTATACAACTTTACAAGGTTGGAAAATACTATGCATCCAAGGAAGAGACAACAGCAACTGAATGGAAATAAGACCATTCCAAGCTCCAATTTTAGCAGTTAACTACATTCATCTTTTCTGGGATTTTAAATAATAATATACTTAAATAAGGTAATGATAACTAGGCACCATGTCTCTCAAATTGTAACATTTGAGATGTATTTTTGCTTCACCATACTTCATAAAAAAAAATGTTAAAAAGCTCTATAACTAAGAATATTATCCACCCATAAAGTTGTCTCACTTAATAATCAATCCATTAATAAGTTATTTAACTTAATTTTCAATTCTATAACATTAGTCCTAGAAGGAAAATTTCATCTGACAATACCAAACCTGCTTTCATCTGCTAATCCAACCTATTAACAGTTGAACAAAATGTTTAATGAATTTCTGCTATCAGACACACAAGCAGAAGGGAAATATAGGAAGAAAGATAACGCCCTTTTTTACTGAAATTACAACTAAACATACAAGAGATGTACAGGCATTGTTACCAGAGAAGAGTCTATGTCACTGAAGACAGACTGTACAATCTTTTTCTAGTAGGTGAATTAAATTATTTCTGATAAGTATCCATTGCCTAATACGATCGAAATCAACAAAATTGAGGTATAAGGTTTTTTTTGTTTGTTTTTTAAATAATATAAAATATGTATTCATAACATATATACACAATGTATATAAATATATCATTTGATTTAATATGAAGCTTAACAAAAAGAATAATTAATAAACAAATAGAAAATAACCTATCAAAAATAAATAAAATTTAATCAAAAAGTAAAAAATGACTTCTTTAATGTATTATTCAAAATTATAAATATTTTTAGAAAGCGTACAAAATTACAATCTTTGGTTTAGTATCACTTTGGATTTACAAAAGTTATTAGGGATTTACAAAATTACTGTTCTTCTGAGTTTTCTTCTTCGATTGTGTCTTTGAAAACATCTCCAACAAGATTTTCAACAAATCTTGATACTGGGTGAGTAGTCAAGGGTAAAGTAGAGGGTCGATGATACAAAAACCCAGTGTCATCAGGGGTATGTACAGCAACAATATCAGTCTGAGTAGAAACTTCACTCGAAGAAGAACTAGTACTAGGAGCAAACGCTCTCAACACCTCCTGCATACAAACTTGCAGTTGTTGTACCTAAAAATACGTGGAATGATCATTATTATTTTTTTTAAAAATTGTTTAATAAAGTTATAGATAATAATAGTAAAATAACTATATGATGCAACTAATTTAACTCTGTATGATGAAACAAACCTGTACCAGTACAAATTATGACAGTTTTTTTAACACTCCAAAGGTCACACAGGATCTGAGAGATCTACCGAGTGGTCTATTTGATGTATTTTTTTACTGCTTAGGAAAGGAGAACCTTCCTTCCACATATTTTTCTGGCTCTTGGAGTCTTACAATCCAGTAGTGGGTGACCTGGATTACGTCCAATTTTTGTACTAAAACTTGAGGATTGATGGCGAATGTGGAAATCTTTCACAAGAAAGGGATGCAATGGCAACTGATGTAATTGAAACCAAAGCCTTTATTGGGCTGTTATAAAATGCGTAAAGCCGAAAGAAAATATCTGGATGATTTATGGGACTTAAGTGGCACAATTGATTCCAAGTTTGGAAATCAAATCATCTCATTATGACTGTACGAAGGTTTTGATTTTTACTTTGATCCCTAATATTTGGCAACTGAGAAACACGTCAACAACGTAAAGAAATAGACCAACTAGCAACTCTCTGGGACAGATTTGAAGAGTTTTTCAGAAAATGCCATCTTGTTATTCAGTTGGAGCAGGCATGACTATGATGAGAAGTTGGAAGCCTTTATAAAATTTGTGTTGTGTTCATGTTATTAATTATTCTTGTATCCAATTTATTATGCAGTTATTCTTGTATCCAATTTTCTGTTATAATTGTTTCTTGTATTCAGTGATTTTTGTTTTCGTATTTAATGGTATACAAAATTTAATGTTCAAGTTTCTAATTTTGTCAACATATTTTACGTTCTGATTTTAAATATTTTCTTTTTAATTACATAACTGTTTTTTACTCTACAAATATATTTAAAAACTGATGTTATATTGTTTTCTTTCAGTACAATGAGAAATTTGTTGGTATTTTGGATCAATAAGTGGATTTAGTGAAGTGGATCTCACAGATCCATAGCGACCTTCCATGTGACTCTAAGGCCAGCGACCTTCAGAGTGTTAAGCCAATAAGCAATTTTAAGTGCAATTAAAATTGCTTTCATTATGCCGGTTAATACAGGAAGATGTTTCTAATTATAAAAATTTTATAAATGACTGATTAGGTTTCACAAAAATAAAATCAGAAATGCATCAGATTAAATAATTTTAGCACAGAATTTGCAAAGATAACAGAATAATATACCTAGTTCTGCCATAAATAATGTTACAAAAGTTGAACTCTGTTTACATTCTTGGGTATTATTTAGATAATCCTTACCACTATCAGATTACTTTCTTTACATTTCAGGATAATAATCCCAATTAGTTTATATTTTTTACTTTCAATCAGTTGACATGGAGTGGGACGATAAAGAAAACTGAATAGCTGTGATCGTCTTTCACAAAGTTGGAAAATGTAGGTCAGAGATTTTCAACACTTTGAAACCTTTAGGTATCAGCCATATGTTCGTGTATCACACCATAAATAGATATAATGAGACCCTATCTGTATGTGACAGACCTCGACCAGGCCGTCCCCGCATTGTGAGAACGGCAAATGTGAGAGCAGCGGCTGCTCGAATCAGAAGAAATCCCATTCGAAAACAACAAATCATGTGTCGGGAAATGGTAATCTCTGTCAGATGAATGTCTCCCATAATAAAAAGAGACCTTAGGATGGGTGCATTTGGAAGAATGACAGGACAAAGGCTAGCCACTTCCCTAAAAGAAATTATAGTGGATAGATACAAAGTGCTCCTTGGCTGTTACAACAATGGTCTTCATCGAAAGATTTTGTTTAGTGATGAGAAAATGTTTACAATTAAAGACAAATTTAATCACCAAAATCATCGTGTGTACACACACAGCTCTAAAGAAGCCCAGGAAGTCATCACCCATCCTCAGTGATGCTATGGTTGGGAGTTTGCTTTGATAGTACCACACAACTCCATTTTTGTAAAAAAGGAGTTAAAACAGCTACTAAAAACTATCAGGACAATATTTTGGAACCTGTTGTCAAGCCTCTAAATGATACTCTGTTTGCGGGAAGTCATTGGATTTTCCACCAGGATTCCACTCCAGCTCACAAGGCCAGGTCAACTCAGCAGTGGCTGCAAAAGAACAATCCATCTCTGCCTCAGATTGACCTTCAGAAGCCCTGATATCAACCCACTAGAATATCGGCCTTGGTCTGGAATCTGGAGAGGCATGCCACAGAGCACCCCCTAACTTGGAAAGCCTCAAACAATCTCTGGTGCAAGCAGTTGAGCGCTTTCCTCAAGAAGTGCTGCGTGCTGCTATTGATGACTGGCCATGGAGATTAAATGCCTGTGTTAAGGCAAAAGGAGGACATTTTGAATCATTTCTTTTTTTTTTTACTCTCTATAGATATACATTTCATTTTCTAATAAAGTTTTTGAAAAAATTAATTTTTCTGTTGAAATATGTGTATATTTCCTTGTAACAATATTTATGACAGGACTAGGTAGAGTGGCCTTCAGAGTTATGAATATGTGTTCACTACTTCCACTCTAACAATCTCTACCTTAGATGCTGTGAATGTGATCTCTGAACACTATTATAAATATCCTTTGAGACAGATTGTAATAGTTTTCAATAAACAAGTTTAAAAAAAATATGCAAGTTGTATTCTATTTCCGAGTTGTATTGTCTGTTTGTTTTTTTCTAGTAATGTTATTAGAGTTTTATTTTAAAAATGGGTATGGTACACGGATGAAAGCTTCTATTCAAAAGACACCAAGAGTTTAAATCTGAAGATTGTAAGTTTTCCTTTTGACAGTAACTAACATTAATTTTTAAGGCGGCATTTGATATAATTTCCACAATCACTGAATCCATTAACTCTACGACATTCAATATTTTTCGTTCAGTATTTTGAAGCTAGGGAGAAAAAACAGAAACTTTTCATGAATGTTTTACTTCCTTTTACGTTTAGAATTCTGTAACTTTTTTGTACTACACTTTTCCATTATTATTTGTAATGCAATTTAAATAGCAATAAATTTCCTTTAAAATGATATACAGCAGAGTAACCATAAGAGTTATCCATGATTTTCAATAAATTTACAAAGAACTTTTCTTTTTATGTGGCTATTATAAGTGGGGAGCTAATTATACATAGTATCCCCTAAGTAGAGCGAAATATTAAAAGGGGTGATAGTAGACATCAAGAACTAGAAAAAATGTCAAAATGGCCCAATTTTCAGTTTAAAAAGTGTGAAATTTTAAGTTCTCTGTTTTTTTTTTCTTTCCAGATCCATTTTTTGTATAATAGGAAGTAATAAATAGAAAAAGACTTCATCTAAGTAATTACTAATCGCTTCACAGTAAACCAGACAAAATTTACTTCAAGTGGAGATAGAGTTGGTAAATCCATTTAAAGAGGACTTTCGAGCAACTAAACTAAGCTAAGTTCCGTTTTTAAAAAATCATAAAATCCTGACTTTTATATTACATTTATGCAACATAATTGCCCAAATACATATTTTATTAATAAAAAAAAAATGATTATTCAAGTAAAGAGGTTATAAAACTTTTTCAACCACATTCCTGTTATAGAAATTGATCAATATTTATAAGTGACAAACTAAATGTCCCTGACCCTAATATTTACATTTTCATGAAAATAGTTGAAGCCATCAGCAGGTTTTTAATTTTAAGACTAGAAGCATTTATTTTGTCACTTATGAATACAGATGAATTACAGTAATATAGATCTTAATAAAAAAGACTTTCCATTATCACTTTAGAAGATAAATGATCAAAAAATCATTGTTTTTAACATTATTTTTTTCAGAAATAAAATATGTGTTGATGCATTTATGTTTATTATGTTACATCCCAGGTCATCAAAAAAAAAAAAAAATAATAATTATAGTTTTGCAATAACTTATTGCAGTCATTTATGCCAAAACACAGGTACTTTCAGATGACAGGATATAAACAAACAACATTTATTTACACAAGTTACGGCCATTGTGGCGGCACTGGACATTCAAATATAAACAGCCAGATCTGCTTAATCTTATCCATAGGCAGCAAGTGCCTTGTTAATTAATTTATATTAAAAAATGTTAAAATAATGTGAAATTATGAGGTTATATGAATAAAATAGCAGCAATTTTTATATATTGAAAATTAAATGTATTCCCCTTAATAAAAAATGAGAATAATGAAACAATGAAGGAAACAAAAGATATTCCTTGAACTAAAACTACAATTTAAACCTTAGAGCCAACTAAATTACAAATTTTAAATTGTTTGAATTCTGTAAATTAATTTAGTATTATTTATAACAGTTTAAAAAGAATTTATATAAATGTGTACAAATTTAAAATTATATTTTATATAAGAAAAAAAAGGAATTTAGCGAAGCCAGTCTTGAACCGGGATCCATTACAATATGAGAAATGTACGCTAGCCATTGCACTATGAGAGAACTTCAGAATTAAGCATAAACTAGTATAAAAGTGAATGTGCAACCTCAATGCAAGGTGTATAAATTAAGAAAAATACTGTTTTGATTTCACTTGTCAAAACTGGAGACCAATGAGGTCAGAAATGTCTTTTAAAAGGGCGCCACTCACCTTAAAAATGTTCTTAATTAGAATAAAACGGATCAGCTCTAGCCGGGCAGTCATATTTGCCCATTTAATGTCGCTGTGGTCGCCTGATGTACGTTCTCTTGGAGGAGAGCAATGTGGGAAGACGCTGCCATAACCTGGGTAGATGAAACCCTTTTCATTGGGTTTTCCAGGAAGAATGGTGTTGGGATGAAGAACCTCATAGAGGCAGTTCAATACACAGTGCCATACTAAAAAAAAACCAAGATGACCCACATCTGCAGAAAACCTCCAAGAGGTTTACCGAGCTACAGGAGTCACTTCAAACAGATTTTGAATGCCCAGCTGCATCAGATCCTAGT